CAGCCAGCCCCGAGCAGGGCTTCCTGCTCCCCACCGCGGTATTTTCAGGCGCTTTGTTGTGGCTGCAAAAATGTGCAGTTTGGCAGGAGGGACCGTTTACTCGCTGGGGCCTTTCCAAGGTGCAACGGAGAAAATGCCAGTGGAGAGGGAAAGGAGCTCATTGTGCTCCCGACCTGCCCATGCCTGGAACAATGCAGCCCGTAAAAATATCCTTTCTATTTATACAGCCCTCCCTCCCCACGTTCAGACCTGGACAAATTAAATTCCTGTACCCTGCACTGCTGAGCCCCAGGGTCAGGACCGCACGTCCCACACTTGAAACGGAGAATTCCCAGATCCCCTTGACTCACTGTGCAAACAGAGAAATGGCCACAAAACCTGCCACATCCCCTTTGCATCCCACCACTGCAGCGCCTGGTCCTCGCCTGCCTCAGTGCCACCACCCCAGTACGCCTGTCCTGCCCCACAACTGGGCTTGTTATTGGCAACAAGGGAAACTGAGGCAGCACTGAGGTGACCAGTGGTGGGGGCAAAATTTAGGTTGAAACTGGATCTTGTGTGTCACGAGCCCATGGACGGGGTCTGACAGCCAAGGGGAGGCTGCAAACCCTGCTGGGTGCAGCCCCATTCCCCTTGAAGTCTTACAGGATTCAGGGGCTGGAAATGGGAACCAGGTGGATTTAGGATATAAAAATGTGTGTGCTCCCTGAAGAACATCAGGGAGTGGGGCTGGGGAACCTAGAGCTGCAGCAGGTTTGCATCAGGTGCCAATTTGTAATCCAGAGGGATCTTGCAATGCCTGGAAGGGGCAGGAGGATGCTCGGGGGGAGGCCTGCGGGCACGGCTTTGCCCCAGCTCCTGCGTGAGCACCCAGGCAGGCACCATGCCAGCACCCGCAGCGGCTCTGCAGTCCCAGGGGGCTCTGTGGTCCCGGGGGGCTCTGCGGTCCTGGGGGGCTCTGCTTTCCATCCTGGAAAAGACCACCTCACACTGTGCTGTGGCTGCTACCACCAGCCCAGGGTGATGCAGCTCCACACCGCCTTCCGTGCGGGTTTTCCAGACCCTGCTCGCTGCGAGGCTGGTGGAAGCTCTCCCCTGATGATGATTTTCTCAGCCCATGGGCTGGGTTCTCTTTTACCCACCCCAGGCAGCGCAGAACAGATGGAAATGAATAAATAACCCTGAGTGGTGCATCTCCCGGGATTTGCCAGATGCTGAGTGCTGATGAGGTTTGGGCATCTCCTCTCCTGCCCCAGGGACTGCACGTTGAGAGGGACGTGTCCATCCCCAGACACTGGTGTCAGAGGGACGCTGGGCTGTGGGGACCCCCTGCCCTCACCCCTGCAGTGACCTCAGGGTTTTGTTTCCCCAGATTTTGCTCTCCAGCCCTTGAGCAAGACCAGGAGCTGTCCTTCAGCCAGAGGACACCTGGCTGGTAGCCTGTGCTTGTTCTGGGGTGGAGAATCCCACTGCTGCATGAATCCTGCAGGACACTGGCGGATCAGCACCCCACAATTCGGGGCTGTGGGACCCCGCAGGTCCTGGGCCAACGCAGAGGGAAAAACCCTGTCCCAGAAGTGTTTGCAAGGGGAGATGCAGCACCCACCCCTTCCACAGCCGTATGATGAACGTGATCCAGGAAATGTTTTCAAAAGTGAAATTGTCTGACCCACTGCTGACCAAAGCCTGGGCAGGGTAAAATGGGATGGGGTCACAGGAATAGGATGGAAGTTTCTGCTGCCCCAGGGGGCTGGGTGTGATCTGGTTGCCCACAGCCCGGGACAGGAGCTGACAGCACCCGAGGAAGCTGGCGGCAGCAGCAGCAGCGACAGACAAAAGTGGTTTTGCACACTATCAAATTGAACTGTGAAATTCCTCAGCGTGCAGCATCATGGGCATGGAGAGTCAATGCAAGGCTGAAAAGTGTTTAGTCAGACTCCGAGAAGAAGAAACATCCATCGCAGACACCTCATCCCAAACCACCTCCTCCGTGCCCTGGCCACCCAGGGCTGGGGACACGTGTGCTCTCCATCAGCGTGAACAGGCGGCATTTGGGAGTGAGCGAGTTACCTTTTGTGTTTCTTCGACGGCCACGCTCCCTTCTCAGGTTTTGCCTCAAAAACAAGGGTGTGCCCATCATCCTCAGCTATTTTAAGACCACCGGGAGCCGGCTGCTTCCTGCCAGTCCTGAGCGAGGCTGTTACACAAGCATGGAGCGACTTCCCTGGTGGGAGCAGGGATGAGGGTGCCGTGCCGATGGCTGTGGACTCACCCGGCCACCTCGGGGATCCCACCAGCAGCTCTGCCTCAGCTGAGCACGTCCCCGGTGTCCCATCACCCCTCACGGTGCTGTTGTACACTGGTCGTTTTTACCAGGGCAGGTTTAGGTTCTTACCTCTTGTTCCTTTGTCCTCACCTGCCTTTTTAATGCTCAGACATCGGGTAGGACCCTAAACAACCATGAACCTCACAGGGCTGGGGGTGTGTGTGTGCATACGTGTGCACGCGTGTGCTTGTGCGTGTCCTGTTGAAGGTGGGTGGAGCAGCAGGACCAAGGGAGCTGCTCATATTTGGGGTGCACTCAGTGATGAGCACCTCAATCAGCAAAGGATGCTCCTTACAGACCCACCCGAGAGCTGGAGGGTGAGGTAAGAGCTGCCTAGCTGCACGCTGCCTTGCCGTGGGTCTGCAAGCACACGTGTGGATGTGTCTGTACATATGGGTGTGTATATATTGTATATATACACATATATACACGTATCTGTGCATCTATATGTAGGGGTACAGCCCCTCCAACCTCTCCCTGTAGGAAACCTCTGCCTGTGCTGCTGTCCCGCAGCGGG